GGTGAAACTCCGACGAAACAGTTTGTCACAGCCCCTCGTTTCTTGTCCTCTTCTCCCTCTCTGCCTACGGTTTACCGGGCAGCTCTGTTTGACGACATATATATATATTATGTATTATGTATATGTATATATTATGTGCAAGTGTGGGCACTTGGTGCTGAACCACACAAACGTGGCCAACCTTGCATCTTCTACTATACTGTCTATCTCTATTTTTTCTGTTTTATGGATGCTTTCTGATGATTCAGGGATGGAATGAGATAGAGAAATTGGGGTTTACAGAAAAAACACAGAGAAAAAGCGCTGGTGCTGAAGAATGTAAGAGGCAGAAGGTTGTCAGACCCTGATGGTGACAGGGAGAACCAGGTGAGGAAGTCTTGATGCAAGTGCCACCCCAGCGACTGGAATTGACCATAGCCACGAAACAGTCACCGCACATAGCACGTAGATTGTACGCCAAGAGAAAAGGGCAAACAGCTCTACGCAGGATGAAGCAATCAATCCAGTGTCCTTGGCCGCAAATTGAACATACTCTGTTCAGATCCTGGGCACGTATACGACAGGGGATGGAGCAGTCCTCCACTATTTTGGGAAGGGGTTCTGCAGAACTGCAGGTTGAAAGGAGAAGGGTAAGATAGGAAAAAGGGAACCCGTGGGGGATATTCCGAGATATTGGGTTTCCGGCCCAATAGACTGGGGGACAGTGGGGGTGAAAAACCGTTGGGATGCATAGAAAGAGGACAATCACCATGATGGAGGTTCAATCACCTGCCTTAAACCACCTCTGTTCTTGGCTGGGAAAGCTTCTGCTAGGGGAATTTGGGGTTATCTCTGTGGGTTAATTGTCCTGATTGATGAGCTTTGCACTCCATTTGTTTTCCTTCTTTTTCATTTCTCTCATTCATTACCGTAATAAAACTTTGCATGCACTTACCATGCATCATCCTTTATAACCTCTCTAATGGGTTTCTTCGACCCGTCCAAAGTCTTCACAATACCATGGTTCACATCTGGGTATTGAGTGGAAGAGTGGTTGCCCCAAATGATCACATTTCTTACATTCGGAACAGGCAACCCAGCACGATGTGCAATCTGCGCAACTGCCCTGTTGTGGTCCAGCCTGGTCAAACAGGTAATGTTCTTGCTGGGGATCTTCGGGGCATGCTCCTTCAAGATGAGCGCATTCGTGTTTGCTGGATTAGCAACCACAACCACCTGCTTCATTGGCAGAAATTCACAACCTCATACTCGAACACACGCACGCGCACACACACACACACGCACTCACACACACACACACACACACACACACACACACACACACACACACACACAGAGGCACAATACAGATGAACGAGCTAAGAGTTCCATCCATCTTCCTTTCACGAGGGTAACTCCACAATGCTAAGAGTTCCATCCATCCCACACCAAAATGGCATCCAATCTCACACCAGCCAGGGAAG